CATTTTAATACAGTCTCCTTAATACTATAAGCAGTACTTTCTCAATAAGAGGCAAACGAGGAGGATCACCTGATGTTACGGAAACCCGCACCATTTTTTTTTATGGGGGGTAAATGATCGAGTGTCAGACTCTTTACTGACTAAAACCACCGCGTTTTTACTCCTGCACTTCGAGCCGGAGCCCCGGTAACCCGTTAGGTTCTCCGCGGCTACCCGCACCAATAGAGGAGTTACGATACCGGCATTTAGAGATTTGGAGATTAGTAACTTGGGAATAGAAACTAAGTGATGATTCATAATGATAACATACAGCGTTGTTTCACGTCGGTTTTCTGAGGCCTTAGTCGGTACGGGTTAGTTTTAAGTTTAAAGTATTCGAAACGAGTACGCGTTCGGCGCTCTGAGGCCTTAGTACGAGTTAGGCTTGTGTAGTTCGCGAACGAACTAGTTCAAAAGAGCGCTCCCACATTCAAAATATGCGAACTAGTTCACGTCATTCCCAACTCCTTAGTTCCTTAGTTCGTATTTCAAAGTACAAGTACAAGGATTGTGAAGTCGTTTATATGTATAGTCTATGGTGAAGACCGAACTAAAAAATGCGATAACATATGATCTCACTTGAAAAGTCATGAGCTGAGTCGGGAGCTGACGAACTAGGGAGCGATTTGGCTACCAGTGCCTTCCTAGTTCCTATCCGATTCATTCCAATTCCAAATCGAACTGGGAGTCGGGAGCTGACGAACTAGGGAGCGATTTGGCTGCCAGTGCCTTCTTAGTTCCTATACGATTCATTCCAACTCCAACTGCGAGTCGGGAGCTGACGAACTAAAAGAGCGAACTAGTTCGTTTAGGAGCGGCGAACTGATCTGAGTGATCTTAGTCGCGAACTATTAAGCACAAGACTAGTACGAGTTTCTTTCACGTTTAAAGTATTCGAAACGAGTACGCGTTCTGTGCTCTGATTGGTTGGTTCATTAGAGCCGCCCAATCACAGCGCCGAACGCGTACTCGTTACGAATACTTAAAACGAAAAAGAAACTCGTACTAAGGCCTCTGATTGGCCGGCACCAATGAAGCAACCAATCAGAGCGCCGAATGCGTACTCCTTACGATTACTTTAAATGAAAGACAGCATCCCTGATCTGCAGATTGCGTGGCAGCCGGAACAAAATCCTGGAGACTGTGGCGGATAGATTCTCATCCCCACTCTGGAGGTAATTTGTGAGAAGAGTTATTTAATAATTTATTTATGTGTTTACAATTAATATGTATCAGAGCAGTGTAAAACAGACTTTTTTTTAAAAGAGTAACGAATGGAGTTTCTTGCTCGTTCTTCTCCACTCGAATCGACATTTTGGAACGAGCGCCTAGCTTCACTGACGGACAGACTGACAGACTATTATTTATTTCATATTTGTTGACGTTTCAAAAGTACCAAATTATGGTTTAATTGAAATAAATGCTTTTGAGTTTGAGTTTGAGTTTAATTTAATAATAACTAGCTTTTGCCCGCGACTTCGTACGCGCAACCCTGATATTTCCCGATCCCGTTCTTGATTTTCGGTCAAAAGTAAAAAAAAGTATTGGGTAAAAAGTATCCTATGTCCTTCTCCTGGTGCTAAGCTACATCCTTACCAATTTTCATCCAAATCGATTTAGCCATTCTTGAGTTATAAATAGTGTAACTAACACGACTTTCTTTTATACCTATAGGTATATAGAAGATTATGTAATTCTGTATGGTTGAAATTTTGAATTTATGTTGACTTCTCTCTTTAAGTTTAAGTGTGACTGATTTTAATGATTGTAATTATGATATTTGACTAAATTTTGTATGACTGCGATGGTATGGTATTAATGATGTATGGTATAGATATTAATTAATTTTATGGATCTCTTAGATGTCCGAAATAAATGATTTTTACTTTATTTTAAACGTATAACAAACTCGTACTAAGGCCTCTGCTCGGCCGTGGTATCACTCCAGTCTTGTCGGCCTATTCGTGTAGAAGCATGGCTCTCCCACGTGATTTTGAGGTGTACATATTGCTCGTTGTTGCAACGTTGGGGATTACATGCATTGGCGCGCATCAATCGAATGTAATATGCGCACAAATTACATCAGTTTAACGTAAATTGTTATTAAGAAACTTAAAATGTATTGATAGAAATTTGGCCAGTTATGGTGATGTTAAAGTTGAATTTAGTCACCATCACTGCTTTTCCTGCGGGTATCCTAGACCCGACCAAGTCACTGCACATTGAGATCGGGTGGTAGACCTTAAACTTAAACCTTTAAACTGCAATCTCCAATCCTCTTTCCAAACGTGGAGATTACCCTAATCTTTAGAGCTGGCTTATCCCATATTTCAGCAGTGTACTGTCACAGGGGGTTGGTGCTGATGATGAACGTAAATAGAAGGTAATAAATAATTTCTTTTTTTAAGATGTAAATATTTTATTGTGAAAGTGAAAACTGTACATCGAATATTTTTCTAAAATAATGCTTTGGTCGTGATCTACAGTCGATACTGAAACCAATAATATGTTTTGTTGAATTTTTGTCTGTTTGTATGTATGTATGTATAATCGGGATGAACTCATAAAGTACTGCATGGATTTACTTCAAATTTTGCATGAATATTACTAACAAGTCGGGTCAACATATAGGCTACATATTACCATGCTATCACCTAGATACGGGTGAGGAGCTGTGAATCACTATTCCACGCGAACGAAGTCGCTGGGTCAAATATTTTAATAAAACATAACATAATAACATTTTCCCCACAACGAATTGAGACTTTTTTATACTATACTAGCTGATAGTATGCAATAAAAGTAACCCAAACAAAAAAAATGGTCTAAAAAATCATTATAGATACTTAAGCATATCGGGTACCTATATGATAATTTGAATAGCAACACAGATAAACTAAACTAATTGAAAATAACGGCTTATTCACGCGAAGTAACTAAGAATAGGTCACTTAAATAAGTATTCCGTCAGGGAATCGAACCTGCAACATGTTGCGCAGTAGCCCCACTGTACTGCGCCATTCGAATACTTGTTGGATTCGCTATGATTGCTATGATTTTTATATTAAACTAGCTACTTTCGCGCGGTTTCACACGCTCTGCTCAGCTCCTATTGGTCGTAGCGTGATGTTTTATAGCCTATAGCCATCTTCGATAAATGCGCTATCCAACACAAAAAGAATTATTCAAATCAGACTTGTAGTTACGGAGATTAGCGCGATCAAACAAACAAACAAAAAAACAAACTCTTCCGCTTTATATAAAAGTATTTTTTAAGGGGGAAAAATCATCGAATGACTGCTCCTGCCTGGGTAAGGCGGTAGTTAGTGTCAGACTCTTACTGACTAAAAACTACCCCGTTCCTTCTCCTGCACGTCGAGCCAGAGCCCCGGTCACCCGTTAGATTCTCCGCGACTCCGAATATATGTATAATAATAGTATAAGATCTCTTTGCTCTAATCAACTTTAACCTTTGCAACTGCAATCTCCAACCCAGGGGGGTGAAAGTGGAATTACATACAAAAGACAGGCGAAACTTGTCTATTTAATTGCCCTTG